TATTCGAGCGTAAACTGGACCTCTTTATATGTTTTGGACTCAAAGGAAAACATTAAAAAATGTCTTTTTTACTCGTGTGCAAACCGGACATTTCCGTTTAGTTTTCCCTCCTTATATGCTTCTTTTTTTCTTTCAGTCAAAATTATTTTCTTTCTTTTTTTAGCATCTGACTTTTTCATAACTTTATATATTGCATGTATTCCATCCATTATTTATTCATTCTTTCTTTACTTCTTCCATCTTTCTATCTTTAATGTTTGAATTTTTTTTTTTACTTCCTTTCTTCCTTCCTATCTTCATTCATTGAATCCACCTTTATTCTTAATTTCAAAAATCTATAGAATAAAACACTAATCATAATTTTTAATATTTGAATCCATTTTGCTTTATTTGGGAGTTTCTTGTCTTTCTATCACGTTTATTTATGTTTCTAATTTTCATTCCTTCCCTACAATTTTTCCTTCTTTTTTCTGTTTCCCTTCATTCCTTCTAATCTTTCAGTCCACCTTTTCTTTAGGTTTTCAAAGTTTGACATTCAATTTCTTTTTAATCACTTCACCCCATGCAAGGCACTAAAGCCACTAAGAGGCAAGGCTTTGTGGCACCATTTACGAGGCAGAGAAAGAAAAAGAAAAGAAGGCAGAAAGAAATGCGAGATCCGAATCATAGGTGATAAGCGAACACACACACGGCTAAGAGGCAATAAAAAAAAGGGTTATTTTGATAAGTGGCAAATGGCGAAAGAGTGTCATTACAATGACAATGAGATTTGAGTGGGTAGGGAAGTGTTATCTAAGGATATGAAAACAAACTATTGGTACGGGAAGACCACCGGCCAAGGGAAAAATTCAAGTGAAAATGTTATTTCGATAAGGGACGAAAAGAAACAGGCGACTAAAAAAAGACTTTGGACAGATATGAAAATTAAAGGCCACCTACGAGTAATCGTTGACCGATTTTCCTACTTGGCCTGCGCGAATGGAATTGTGTTATCAGGAAATGTTCGCCAAAGAAAGTCCACTTGAAAACGTTAATTTTGATAATTGACAAAACACAGGTGTAGCTACAGAGCCTTAAGTAGATATGGAAAATTAAAATCCCACACAAGCAGTCTCGCTAGCTAAATTCTTTTCAACAAAACAACGTTGCCCTGCGATAATAAAATTATGTTATCAGACGCATGTACCGAGGGAAAATAAATGGGACCCAGGGGTGTTTTTCTTTCTTCCTTGGAGACGTCAGACTGACTGAAAACTTGGGGATAAGTCTTTTTTGAGGCCATGTTAAGAATACCAACCATCTTGATAAATTAGCGATAAAATACCTGACGTAAGCCACGTGTAGAACAAGAATTATGACCCTATTGTTCATACTTTCCCGTTGGTGGCCAGATAAATGATACGGCGATTAAGGAAGAAAAGGAAAAGCAAAAGATAATTTCTTTTTTAGTTAAGCAAGGTATTTTTTTCCGAAACAAAGCCGCGGATTGTTCACGCCCGACTAAGACATCATAGGTCAAGTGGTGATCACGTGACGCACGAAGGAGGAGGAAAGATACCCGACCAAGACCTCATTGGCCGAGAGTGATCACGTGACGCACGAAGAAGGCTGTCGACGCCCCTACCAGAGTATAAGTATGAGAAGCTGCTACGAAGAAGTGGGGAGGGCAGTTCACGCCCCTCAGAAGTATGGTGAGAAAGTGGGAGTGAGAAAAAGTTCCCAAAAATGGAGAAGAGTGGAAAATCCCTAAACAGAAATAAAAGAGGTGGATATGTATTTAGAATTATCGAGGAACCCCCCTGGACGCCAACAGACCCACCCCGGTTTTGGTCGGCGTCAATAAAAGCCAGGCTCCAACAGGCAGAAATCAGTTCGGGCCCTGGCGGCAGAGATGATAGACCAAGATAGCTGACCAAGATTCACGCAAAATTTCGGACTCCTCTTCAACCAAGAACAATTATTTTGAAGAGCGACTTCGGACCAGACCACCGAAATAAGTTTTTCGACTTTCGTCCAAAGACACACAGAAACACAAATTTCTTAGAGAGCAAACAACTTTAAGCGTTAAAACTTGCCTAGCGAAAACTACATGTCACAATCCACAGAACGGGTCGGGAGTAGATGCAGTCCTATGTATCGAACAACTAGACATAAAGTTGAACTTTTTGAGTTTTCATTTTATTTTCTTTTATGCATATTTGTGTGTTATCACCCCCGTTGAACTCAATTTGCATTACGGCCCCAACCACTGTTTGATCTCGTCTGTCTAAGATCAATTCCCAACGTGGGTAGGCAGACTGGAGATCAATGCAGTTACCTTGGTAACCAGGCGTTGGAAGCGAGTTGGGAACGACGAGACTGATATAAAATCTAACCAGATTCCCACCCGAATCACCAAAAGGTTAGAACGTCACATTTGGGTGCCGCGACCGATACCAAGCCAGTTGGTCGTCACAAGGCGAGACAACACGACTGATGCGACAGGCGGACGTCACGTTTGGAGCAGCGACACCCGGACAGAGCAGCGAGGAGCGAACAGCTGGCGCCGCGGCGAAGACGTCACAAGTGGTGCGGTTTGAGGACGTCATAACTGGCGCCGTGGTAGATCAGGATAGAACGTCACAGTTGGCGCTGCGACCGGGGGACGACGTCACAGCTTTACTGAGTGTTAGAGAATATGAGGAAAAACTACTATTAAAGAGAGAGGACAGTAAAAGAACAAAAATTCAGAAAACAGAAAATAACGATTGACATTGCATTTAAATTTCCACTCAAGCAAGGCACTAAAGCCACTAAAACGCAAAGGTGTTAGTGAGTGTTATAAAATATAAGGAAAACTACTATTAAGGAGAGAAGACAATAAAAGAACAAGAATGAAGACGACGGAAGATAACGATTGGCATTGCATTTAGATTTTTGAAGATCAAGGTCGACTTGGGTGCAAGAAGCCGAGAAAGATTTCCACAATCGAGAAATGCTAGAAAATAAACTTTTAGCAGAGAAATTGCGGTTAAATCTAACAATTTCAATATAAATAGACGAGACATTGAACTGGCTAAGCGTAGCCGTAAGTTTTATGATGACAGTTTCTTCTCTAGCAATTCTCGATTGTGGAACTCTTTTCTGGCTTCTTGACCTTAGTTAATTTTTATCTTTAAAAATCTAAATACTATTTTATTTTAATACTAGTATTTCGCTTAAATTCGCTATTTCTTTTTCTTAGTTTTCCTATTTTATTCTGGCTTTTTGTATTTTCCCAGCTTTTTATTCATTCTTTAAATTGGAAGCCGTTTCTGATTCTTTTCTTTAAAAAACAAAAGTACTGAGTGCGATGGGTAAATTGTTGCCATTTTATATTTTTCAATTTCACGCATGCGCTTTGATTGGTTTTGATTTTGTCGACTGCACAATATAGCAGGGTTAGTTGGGCACCGTCTGCAAGAAAATGACCACCATAACGCAATTTACTCGACAAGAAATTTGGAAACGGTATACTGTACTCTAATATGAACATTTCAGAATGTCCCGGTGCAAAACTGAGGACAATGCAGAGAATTTTGAAAGAGTTGGATGGGTCTAATGATGATTACGAAGTTACGGCAGATAAACCCACTCTGATCGTTCTGATAATAAAATAACGCCCGAATTTTTGGGTGAAGGTCTCCGACTTAACAAAGTGCCTTGAGGAGGTATTGCATCCTTGAACCAAGAGGGTGACTTCCTGAAGACCCTATGGATTGCAACAGGTCTCTTCACCATGCCACACAAACAGGAGAACTTAGTCATAGCTGTCAGAAATTTTCTGCGATCACATCTGGCCATCTAACTTCCCAGACTGCAACCCCCTTGATTATTATGTGTGGAGCACAGTTGAGAGAGAGAGAGACCAACAAAACTCCTTGTGACATTAAATATGAACTGAATGCAAGGATTATGGCAGCATTCACCAACTTAAACAAGGAGACCGTCCAGAAGGGTTGCAGGAGATTCCGAAGTCGTCTGAAGGCCGTGGTTGAAGCCAATTGTGATATTATTGAATTTTTTTTTTCTATTTTTTTACTATTTTCAAGATATTTTTGTGTAATTTTGGTAAATATATCTGTTAAAATGAGATGTCAGTATTTTCATTTTTGCCTAATTTAGATCAGGGGTCAGCAAACTTTTGCTGACTATGTACCGACCTAGAGTTTTAAAGTCATTCAGTGTGCCAACAGCATACGTATTTTTATACAAGTCTAGGTCAATATACTTGTTCTACAATATATTCTATATAGTAATATATAATATATTAAAATTGAAACAGCTAAATATCTTCTTTGCGTTGTTATTAGTCTGGACTTCGTGATGTCATTGGCGGCTGCGTGCCATTAGAAATTGCATGGCGTGCCACGTGTGGCACACGTGCAGTAGGTAGATTTGGACGACAATTTATCCATCGCGTGCTGTTAGTCCCTAAGTCCCACTCATGATAGATGGTTACTATATTTTGATATTGTAAGTGCGGAGACGGAGAGAGCAAATGTGGCATATTATGAGGCTATTTAGGATAAATAACCTTTGACATTCAGTATGAAATGGTTAAGATTATAGTGATGAGCGAAGCATCTTCATGTGTGTTCGTTTCATGTTGCAACAGTTTTTCTATAGATTTTCGAATATGAAGGACATGAGAAGTCGACCATGGTCTAAACTAGTGAAATATAAGAAGTTTACGAAAATAGCGATGGAGTAGCAAAAGGAGAGCTAAGTTTCGAATGTGACGATAGGGTTGAAGGATGGTAAAGAATTCATCATCCGTAAGGCTGCGTAGATTCAAACAGGGATGATTTTTCTATTTTTTCCAGTTTGTTTTTCTACTTCATTTGTTTATCATGGCTGCTTTTTTCATTTCCGAGTAGAGAAATCGCTTGATAACGCACCGGTCCACAATTTCACCAAATCAATGAACGGACGTGGATTTTAAGTTCAACCAGGGCTTTACACTCTTTACCACAGTAACAATGACACCGTGGATTACTGAGTGAATTATCAAGCCATCAACACTTTTACACATATTCACTACAATCACGAGTGTCGTGGGTTGCCGATCCCTGTCTCAGACTATTAAAATACAGATTTTTTTGTGGGGGAGGCATTAGAATTAATAGTCAATTTCTTAACCTTTCATTTTTACATCACACACACACACACACACACACACACACACACACACACACACACACACACACACACACACACACACACATTTCGTCCAATGGGGACTTTTTCAAGGCAAAAATAAAATTTCCTTAGCGATTGGAAAAATTTAGAGAACGCTATTATATTAAAATGTTTTAAAACAGCATAATCGCATATTAGGATTTTTGTTTGTTTTTTCAGTATATTTTTCTTCATACTGTCGGATCTATATCCATATATTTGCACACACACACACACACACACACACACACACATATATATATATATATATATATATATATATATATATATATAGTTAGTTAGTTTATGAAAAACTAGGTAATCCGTATAGGTAGACCCAAGGAGGATAAAATCCAGAGAGCTCAATGTAAATTCAGAGCAAATAATTTAAATAAAATTTAAAATTTAAGATTTTTTTCGTTTCAACCTTTGGAAGTAATGTCTGATTATCCGCAGTCCTTTAAAAGGGCTGTGGTGAAATAATTTATTACATGGAACCTTAAACTGGTCTGTTTTTATTTAAATTATATATATATATATATATATATATATATTCGCTTTGCGAAACATCTGATTAGCTTCTATGTTTTTCATACTTTCCATAAAAAACTCTGCGTATGGATAAAGTTTTTTTTTTTTTACTAATACAAGGCCTGAGAGTCACTCAAGGTAGATGGTTACATCGTGGGTTATAATAGCGTAGGAAAGTACAAACATTAGGAGTATAGAGCTGAAGTAAATTTTAGAAGGAACCGGAAAGCCAATCCTAAACAGGAAACAAAGAATAAACATCTAATCCTGCTCAGAAGACCGCGGAGGTGTATAAACTGGACGATAGGTGAATCTATTTACTAAATTTAGTACAGGAGATAAATGAACATACAATAAGCTGTTGTGGGGGTATTTTTTCCTAACACTGTCATTTGAAAAAACAAAAAACAAAAAATAACATTAACCTAAAAATCAAGTCATATCATCGTCAGATCATATGAATGATATAAGCATTCAGAAATATCTAAACTGTCAGTGGTATACAACTGCTTTCTAAGATCAATGTTTGAAGGTGGCTTCGAGCGAATGACGTCTGTAGGTTATAGTGACGACCGACATTCTACGAACCTGACGCTACACAATCACAAAGAATCGTACCAAATAATCGAATCCATATTCACTTGAAGACTTTCAACAGTAACAGCATGGATATCACAATTAATTCGACGAGAAAATAACGACATATGCAAGAATTTAGGACTGGCGCTACACAATCAAAAACAAAGAACTGTAAGAAATAATCAGTTGAGAACTACCAAGAGCAGAAACAACTAAAATGGATAGCACATGTAATTCGAAGAGAAAATAAGAATATACTCAATAAGCTGATATTCTACACTTCTTCAAACTAAAGTGTAGGAAGGAAACCCCCATCAATACTGGAAAGAGCGATAACAGTTAGTGGACAGGTGAAAACTCTTTTACTGTCTGCTCGGTCAATGAATCCAGAATGTTTTCTTTTTAAGAAAATAGCTAATATTACCATTACTAATATTCTTGTATTATTTCGAACTATAGCTCTCATATTAATTAATAAAGATCTTATTATAGACACAACGTTTCGATCAAGTACTCCTGGTCTTCATCAGGTGCCTTTGATTGTTATTGAACTGGTGCGTCACTATCAGATCCAAGGGTTAAAGTCATCATCACTACATGATAGTAACACATGTATAACAAATCCTATATCCACTACGCCACCGTCCCAAAGTGGGAGTGTTTTTGGAGCCTTTTATATATTCATTATCACATGGTTTTTGATTTTTGGTTATAATGATTCATATCGAATTTCATAATTTAGTATTTAGAATATCTGTCCATATTTCTGAGATGAGGTATTGTAATTATTTACATTATTTGCATTGTTCGGATTGTTGTTCTCATCTTCATTGCCATATTCCCGACGTTTCGGCCGATGTACGATTGGAATTTCGAACGGAACCCCTTATAAATCAACTCTCCAAGTTGTTGTTCACCACTACAACAACCAATTATTGAACCCACAACTCTACTGCAGTAGTGAATAAGAACTTAGAGAGTTGAGTTAAAGGTAGATAATTGAGACATCCAGAAGAGGCATGGCATGTGGAACTAGAATAATTTTCCTGGTTGACGAAATAAGGTGTTCAGTTCGAAATTCCAATCACCAGAATGTCGTAAAGCTCTATCTATAAAAAGACAGGACGTGCGCGCGCGCGTGCGTGCGTGCGTGCGTGCGTGCGTGCGTGCGTGCGTGCGCGCTCGTGTGTGTGTGTGTGTGTGTGTGTGTGTGTGTGTGTGTGTGTGTGTGTGTGTGTGTGTAAAGAATGCACGGCCGCAATTTTTGACGGATTTGAACCAAAATTTACATGCACATGCTCCAATTTAGCGGGAACTTCAAGACCGACTTTGCATTTCTCAACTCCCATCGATAGTGGAAATAATCGAATGTTAACTAGCATGCTAGCATGCAAAAAAATCGATAGCTGCATTCGTCACAAGTGGGAAAAATTTAAATCTACATGACACTTTACTCTAATTGGCTCATTCGCTTGCTTAAACTCAACGTTGATTCTGATTCTGCAGAACTGGGTCGGGTGTGAAGAAGTATTTGTTGTTAACATTCTTTTTTTCATTCGGTTTTTCCAGTTACGAGTCCTTTTTTAAAGCTGATCGTTTTGTGTTCATTTTGTTTAGTTCTTTTTTCGTAACAGATTTAATGTTTAGTATAGAGCTAAGAAAAAATTCACACTGTGAGATAGGCAAGAAGTAAGGCATGTAGCAACATCAGCACGGCAAAGGGCACTCCTTTAAAGGCAAGGAAGGGCAAAAATATTTTAAGTCAAGTTATAGCAATTGCTGTATGAGTCGTACGATTTTTGAATCAAGCACGGGCAACGCCGGGCCATACTGCTAGTATGAAAATAAAAATGAGGACAACAGTTTGGATGTAAATAGTGTAAATAACTATTATTGCTATTTACATTTTCTTGTAGAATTTATTGTTTATTTAATTTGTTAAATAGCTAAAGCATTGTAACTTTTTTCTTTAGTTGTGTCTTTATTTCTTTCATTCATTTTTTTTTTCATTTTTCATTCTCTTCTCCTTGCTTCGTTTATAGCGTTTCTTTCTTGTTTTTTTTCTTTGTCTGTTCATTGCCTCATTTTCATTTTTTTTTTCTTCTATTTTTATTTCTTTACTTTTTCTTACACTTAACCAGTTTTCTTTGTCCTTTTTTTACCTCCTTTCTTCCTTCGTTTTATTCACCTATTTCTCTTTCTTTCACCGCCCCCCCCCCACACATTCCGTTATATCCTCTTAATTTTCTTATTTCTCCCTCTCCGTATTTATTCCCTCCACCCGCTCTTCTTCTTCATAATCACTTCTCGTGTGTCATACCTTTCCAGCATTTGCAGTCGTAATGTCACGCAACGATGTGGGCAATGCTCCATGACACTATCGGAAAATGACGATAGAGTCCAATGCCCTCAACCCACTTCCAATCCAGGGAGCCCAAATAGCTAACCATTATTGCATATAGAAAGCCCATGGACTTCCCGCTACCCTGGCGTATAAAGCGATTCCAAAGGGAGAGCGGGACAAAATCGAACACCAAAGAAAATCTTCCTGACGGAGGAAGAAAAAGACGCTGGCTTGAGGGATGCGGTGAATAAATAGTTGATCGGTCGAAGGTTCACACGCGTACGATACCATTCCGCGACTCGAGACCCGGATTTTCGAACTCAGTATTGGATAAGTGGCCAGCAATTGTCCGAAATATCCGTTTGATGGGCTCTTTTCAAACCCGAAACAAGCGAAAGAGAAAAGGAAAAAGACATATAAAAGAAACGGCTGGAAAAGAATGAAAAAGGAAAAGAAATATATCAAGTAGCCATTAGTGGTCAAGGACAAGCGTTGTGCTTCTGTCGAAGATGACTTTGGCCTTTTCTATTCGACGGTCTGATATGGGTATTTGGCTTAAAGTTGTTCGACAAATCCCGGATCCCAATTTGTCATATCTCATGTCATTCTCCTGCGAGTAACTGTTTTTCTCTTTCAATTTGAAAAAAAAAAATCTTTCTTTTTCCTTTATTCTCTTCTTCCTTGCATTTTTCATTTTAGCTGTTTTTCCTTCTTTATTTCCGCATATATTTTCTTTTAGTTTTTTTTTCCTTTTTTATTTTCCTTCACCTATTTCTTCAGTATTCATTCATTTCTCAATTCCTCTTTCTTTATTCTTTTTTATTTTTAAATATTTTCCTTCTTTCACTTGTATCTTTTTTTTCTTCAAATTTTGCAATAAAGGAATGCTTATGTTGATATGCAGGTAGGATAACGCTTATAGGGTTAGAAAGTTGAACCAACGAGCCAAGTTCAAATTCTGTCCTCGTCTGATACGTTCATTTGGCACCAGTCGCTTTGGAAAAGGCATGGATACGTCTTTTCTTCCCCGGACAGATACGGGTTAAACAGCAGAGTAGATTAGCTTTTCTAGCCTTGTCTGGTACCCAGTTTAGGAGAATAAATACTCTGAATTAAACGCGGAAACGGGATTCAACTCCATTATCGATTCAAACAAGCAAGGTGACATTAAAGATAAAATAGATCTGTGTAGAGTCATGAAGCTTTACATAATGGATATTCAGTCAGTTATGTGCCATGCGTGATACATGCTTAGACGATCATGTATCTTTCGATACATAATTGACGAGGCAGATTTTTTCCCTGCAGTAGGTTGCCATTTCTTTCTGTGGTAGACCAGTTACCGTCCAATGCTATAGAACCCAGTCTGTCCTGCTATTTACCTCTTTTTTTTTTTTTTTTTTTGCTTATTTTTCTCCTTATGCATACATACATATATACATGTATACATACAGGGTGATTGAAAAGTAACTCTCGATTTTATGTATGTGTGGCCAGCCAGGAGTCCTGACTTAACACCTTGTGAATTTTTCTTTGGGGTTGGTTAAAGGAGCAAGTCTAGTATAGACTTTCAAGACATTGGAAGAAGAGCGAAAACAAGAGGTTATGTCTTCCATACCACAAGAGTTCCTGGTGAAATCAGTTGACGCCATTCCTGGGCGGCTCGAGAAGCTGATAGCGAAATCTGGTGCCCATATCGAATTTTAAATAAAACTTCATCCCAAAATGCTTTTCTCTCATATCCATTTCTTGTAAAAATTATATTTAATAAATAAATTAGAAGTATTTTAAAATGGGGAGTTACTTTTCAATCACCCTGTATATAAACGCAGGCACTTGACGTTTTTCAGTCTTTCTTTCTTTATTTTTTAACTTTCTTTCTTTCTTTCTTTCTTTCTTTCTTCTCTACTTTTTTCAGTTCTCGTTTTCTTTCTTTCTATTCCTCCGCCTTTCTGTATTTATTTATTTATTGCTTTATTTCCTTATCTTCTTGTCTTTCTATTCTTTTTTCTTCTATCTTTCTTTTTCTTTTCATTCTTTCTTTCTTGTCATTATTTTGTTGTCTTTCTATATTTCCGTTTTCTATGTTGTCTTTTCTTTCCTTCTTTCTTTCTTTCTTTCTTTCTTTTTAATTTCGTTCTTTTGTCTTTTTTTCATTCTTTACTTCTTTCTTTTTTCTTTCCTTTTTCCTTCCACCTTTCTTTCATTCATTCATTCTCTCTTTCTTTTATTCTTTCTTTCATTCTTTCTTCCACTTCACTGCAACTTTTATTTCTTCCACCATTTTTTAATCTTTCTTTTTCTTTCTTTTTTTTCGCTTTTTCTTTCTTTCTTTCTTTCATTATTTTCTTGTCTTTCTAGACATTTATACCTTTTTCTTCTTTCTAACTTTCTCCCTTCCTTCTCTCTTTTTATTTCTTCTTTCTTTCTTTTTTTCTTATTTTTTCTTTCTTTTCCTTATCTTCTTGTATTTCTATATCTACGTTTTTCTACATCTCCTTTCTTTCTTCTTTATTTTCGTGTCTTTCGATATTTCCTTTTTTCTTTTTCTCTCATTCTTTGTTTGATTGTACCTTTCTTTCTCACCGCATATCCATTTATGTATGTCTATTTTCTTACTTTTCCCTCTACTTTCAATTTAACCCTTTTTTTCCTTACGTCATCTTCACAACTTAATTTCTTTTTCTCCTTCCTTAACCTGATACGCTGTATTTTATTATCAGCTGCTCCAGTTACGTCGCAATTAAATTGTCTGCAAGAAGGACCGACAAAAGGTCTTTGGTTCCAATCTCAGCTCAGCTTGTTTTATTCTGTAAATAAATTCAAGAAAATATAAACACTGAAATATCCTCCATAGCTATATACTGTTATGTACGCTAGATAGCCAGATTTTGTCGTTTGCTTCATGCACAATGAATCCATCTTACTTTCTTACGTTTAATTCATAGACTTATTTACAAACTCATATTGTCAATTTAAATATTTAGTGTATTTGAGGGCCAGTTCATTCGATTTTTTGCTTTTCGTTTTTATATTTCTTTTTTTTTTTCGCCATTTTTGTTAACATTTTCTCCATCCAACCAATCCAATTTTATTTTAGTTTACTTTTTCTATGTTTTTCTCCCATATCTCACGCATTTTTACGTTTATTCATATTCTGCTTGCTGTTTTTTTCACTAAGCTAAACATTTATTTATCTTTTTTTGTGCTTGTTTCTGTAGACATGTGTATGACTATAAACTACATCCAGCTGCAAGGAATCAGATCGGGATATTTGAGGTTTTGATGAGCGTGGACCGAGATCTCAATTGTTGCTGTTCCCAGGTCCACCCTGACTCGGAGAGGTAGCCACTGTTATGGTCACTGCTATGGCCATATATTGAACCCCCTAAACAAACAAAACAGTATCAAAGTATTAATATACATATTCATAGCAAAATGACAAGAAATACTTTTTATAGTAGAAGTACTAATAATACATTTTAGTTGTAGGCATAAAATTAAGTGCAAAATATTTAGATAGAACCGTTGATATGCCGCTAAAGAAAATCAATCTAATGAGCCATTCTGTTGAAGATTAATTTTTTCGTTCTCTGCATTTTCATTCATTTCTTTTTCAGCTGTCTCTCAGTTGACTTTCTGCAATTTATTAGTTCTTAGTTTTCTCTTGTGTACTCCGTATTTCTTTCTTTTTTCTTTCATTCTTTATTTTTTCTTTCTTTCTTTGTTTTTTCTTTCTTTCTTTCTTTTTTCTTTTTCTCTTTCTTTCATTCATTTTTTCTTTCTTTCTCTTCAGTGCAAAGTTTACTCCTTTCGTCATTTTTGCATGATTTCATTCTATTTTGTGTTTTCTTCTCTTTTTAATTTCTTTCTTTCTTTCTTTCTTTCTTTCTTTCTTTCTTTCTTTCTTCTGTTTATGTGTTTTCTACTTCTTTTACTTTCTTTCTTTCTTTTTGTTTGTTTGTTTCTTTCTTTCTGTCTTTCTTTCTTTTATTTATGTGTTTCCTACTCTTTTTACATTCTTTCTTTCTTTCTTTCTTTCTTTCTTTTATGAGTTTCCTAATCCTTTTACTTTCTTTTTTCTTTCTTTTATTTATGCGTTTCCTACTCTTTTTACATTCTTTATTTCTTTCTTTCTTTCTTTCTTTCTTTCTTTCTTTCTTTCTTTTATGAGTTTCCTAATCCTTTTACTTTCTTTTTTCTTTCTTTCTTTTATTTATGCGTTTTCTACTCTTTTTACTTTCTTTCTTTTATTTGTCAAGTTGCCGTATACATACATACGTTAAAAAGAAGGCCTGTCATATTTGCCCTTCGGCTCTTCAAACGTTCTTTTATTCTTCTTTTCCCCCGGAAAAAAAACAGTGCAAAATCCTAATAATTGATCTCAATACCCTTTGCTTTGTAATCATCAATACAATTAAAACGATTACTATTTTGCACGAAAGAGGTCTTTGACAATATCAACAGCATTTTTGTACAATGGCAAAGGACTTGCTAAGAAAATCCAGCACATCCTAGTGGAAACTAGCAACATTCAAATATCACAAACAAAACACTAAACGTTCATTTATCGGGGGTAGATTGCTCTAGTTCCACGTGCCATGCTTCTTGATGATCGCTTAGTTATTTCCCTTTAACTCAACTGTTTTTGGTTCACAACTGCTGTTGCCTGGTATTGAACTCACAATTTTTTGGGTTTAGTCACTGGATCTAACCAACGCCTTTATCCACTGGACCGTGTGTCCTTGAAGAAAGCCGGAGGGTACAACGGCCGAAACGTTGTGAATATGGCAATGAAGATGAGAATAACACTAAACGATCTTTTGCTAAAAATGTTGGAAAAAATGTACATTATAGTGCCCCGATAGGTAGCTGAACCTCCTCTTTAATATTACAAGAGCGAGATCAAACCAAAAATGGAGTCCTTCTGGCTAGTCCTGATAGAGTTCAGAAGCGTCTACACATACTTGTTGGTGATGAATTATATTCCACCCTACAGCCTATTTCCCACAGACTAAACTCGCGAGCCTCTCGCTAATCTATTGCTATTACTATGGCGAGTGTTTTGATGAACTGCATTTCATTGTCTAACCAGACCTGAGCTTTGCAGCAGGGACCCACCATGTCACGTACACGATGATGAATCATCACCATTCCCTTCGTATTCCATTAGCAAGGAGGATGTTCTACTCGGACAGCTTCTTCCCAAGAACTGCTGATTTATGGAACAAACTCCCGAGACGATGTTTTCCCAATCACTACAATCTAGATCTCTTAAAGTCTATGTTTAAACATTGATTTTCCTAAATAACCTCATGAAATCCCCTTCTTGCAATTACTTACACTCATCCAACACCATAAAGTAACCCTCTACCTTGAATGGCTCTTACGACTTGTATCGGATCAACGTTAGTATATAAACGACATTTATTTATTTTAGTTTTTTTATTCTTCTTTAAAAAACATATTATGGCTCCTTTGGCATATTTTTCATATAATTTTTAACATTTATTCCCATCATGCAAAGCAGGAAGTATATTGCAGAATGCATAGGCCAGGCTCAGAATGGTCAGCGATTGGCCAGAGTGCCTCTTGAGCGTAGTATTCTGAGAGTGATGGATTGCCTTTGTTTGGGTTCTATATATTAGTTCAAAACAGCGTAAATTCAACAGAGGATCGCAAGAATTCTGAAGGGTCGATAAGTCTCCCACAGCCACAGAGAATGGTTAAGATCACCAGTTGTGGGACGTTGAGCCAACGTGCGACATGCGTTTCTTTGATGTCATCCCCCCCCCACTGCCACTTAGAATCCAAGCTGCCATCACTCTCTCCAAATAAGACGAATGAGAAAAAAATGATCCTTTTTGTTGCTGCCATTGTATGCAGTAGCGTAGGGACCCAGAGACAACAGAGAATACAACAATCAGCGGTAGTCGAGATTCCAGTCAAACTTCGTCGAATCGTTTATAAGTCTCTACCTTTAGGAAGAATCGAAGAAATAATGGATGGGTACAATTTTTACGATGCCATTCCTCCTTTTTAGTAAAAAGAAAAAGAAGAAAAAAGAAATCACTTCCGTTTTCATATAATTGAGGCTATAAAGTCGAGGAAGAAAGTAATGGACAAAGATAGAAATAAAAGGTCAGAGTTAAAAAAAATAAAAAGAGGAAATGTGAAGAAAGAAAAAAGCTCATATCCATATATGGATAAAATGTAAATAAAAGAAAGAGAAAAGGAGAAAACAAAGCGTAAAAGAAAAATGAAGGAAGGAAAGATAACGAAAAGGATGAATAGAAACACAGAGGAAATAACTTGAAACATAATAGGCAAGATTAGGTAGCGAAGGAGAGCGAGAAGAAGGGACTAAGCACAAACTACAAGAATACAGAATACATGTAAAAGGATGATCCCGAAATGTGATTTACAGGTCGGGGACACTAACATCAAGCAGGTGCAGAAATCTAAATATCTGGAAAGTGTTCTGACAGAGGACGGTAAGTGCGACGCTGAGATCCGAAGACGTATTGGAATGGCCAAAGACGCATTCCAAAATCTGGGCAGAATATTACGAGACAAGAGGATTTCTTTGATAACAAAGAAAAGAGTACTGAGCTACTACGTGACACCTGTGTTCCTTTACGGCAGCGAATGTTGGACGGTCTCCTCAAAGATGAAGAAGAGACTCGAGGTAACGGAGGTATGGCTCTACAAAAGGATGCTTAGGGCATCATGGACCGAGTGTATGAACAACGATGAGGTTTTGGATGAAAACAATAAGGAAGCTTATATTTAACACCAGGAAGAGGCAGCTGAAATCTCTAGGACACTTAATGAGAAAGGAGGGTCTGGAGAATCTGATACTCACAGGGTAAATAGAAGGAAAGAGGCATAAGGGAAGTCAACGCGTGACATACCTAGCGAGATTAAGCAAGTAGATGACAGAACGTGAGCTGGGAGAAGTAGCAAAGGGACAAAACTTATTGAAAGCTACAAGAGATAGGGGAAAGTAAAGAGCCTTGATCGTCTACGGCCTGTAGGGACACGGTACATAAAATAAGAATGAAATAAAAAGAAAGGTATATAGAAGAAAATGAGACAAAGGAAATCAAACGAAACACTGACGGCAATTAAACAAAGAAAAGAAAGTTAAACGCCAATATGGTAGAAAGAAAACAATGAATGATGAAAATGGGGTAAATAAAAAGATAAAAGAAAAGAAAGAAAAATTGAAAATGTGAATTAAAAAGAAAACAGAAAGAAACAAGTATGGCAGGCAGAGAAAAGAAAGAAAGAAAGAAAGAAAGAAAGAAAGAAAGAAAGAAAGAAAGAAAGAAAGAAAGAAAGCAATGCAAATGTGGCGGACAGAGAAAAGGAAGAAATCAAGGTCGAAACTAATACACCAAATAAAAAGAATAAATAAAAAAAGACAGAATCCAATAAGACAGAAAGAAAGAAAGAAAGAAAGAAAGAAAGAAAGAAAGAAAGAAAGAAAGAAAGAAAGCAATGCAAATGTGGCGGACAGAGAAAAGGAAGAAATCAAGGTCGAAACTAATACACCAAATAAAAAGAATAAATAAAAAAAGACAGAATCCAATAAGACAGAAAGAAAGAAAGAAAGAAAGAAAGAAAGAAAAAGGAAAGAAAAATCGAAACAAATATGGTAGACAAAGAAAAAAAAATCAAGGTCGATACAAATCTACCAAATAAAAAGAAATAATGAAAGACAGAATCCAATAAGGCAGAAATAAATAAATAAATAAATAAATAAATAAAGAAAGAAAGGGAAGAAGGAAGAAAAAGGAAAGAAATATCGAAACAAAGTCAGAGAAGAGAATTAAATAATTGTCTAAACCAATAGAGAAAATAGAAAAGACGAAGAAAGAAAATCTGATTCCGATAATGCAGACAGAAAAGAAAAAGAAAGAACGAACGAAAAAAGAAAGGTAGGTAAATAATAATAAAGAAAATAGAAAATAAAAGAAAGAAAGAAAAAAAATTGAAAAGTAAAACAGAAAGTAAGATGAAGAAGCGGAAAGAAAGAAAAAAGGAAGAAAGTAAATAAAGTAGATAATGATTATTTAGAATAATTGAAAAAAATAAATCCTATTTTTATAAGAAAGGAAGAAATAGATAAAGAAAGAAAAAAGAAAGAAGAGTAAATAAGATACATAAAATTATAAAGTAGAAAATTGAAAACAAAAAGTCCTGTAAGAAAGAAAGAAAGAAAGAAAGAAAGAAAGAAAGGAAGAAAGAAAGGAAAGAAAGGAAAGAAATCAATAAAAATTCAAGGCAAATGAAAAAGTCAGAATTAAGAGAAAGAAACAATAAGTGATATAAAAGGAGAAAGAAAGAGCGAAGCCAATAAGGCTGTTAAAAAAATAAAGAAATCAGTCAGGTATTTTAAAAATACATCATAAGAAAGAAAGATCAGAGCTTGTAAGGCCGATAAATAAGAAAGCAGGAAGAGAGAATGATGACGGCTGAAATACAGAAGAGGCCGACGAGGACACAAAAATTCCCAAGATAATGCTTACCAAAAACAACGTTTCACTTTCCCTTTCTTCTTTCCTATTCATTCTCTCTCTCTCTCTCTCTCTCTCTCTCTCTCTCTCTCTATCTATCTATCTATCTATCTATCTATCTCTCTCTCTCTATATATATATATATATATATATATATATATATATATATATATATATATATATATATATATATATATATCTCTTTTTTTTTTATCTCTTTTTGTCTGTCCGTAAGCCCGAGAAGCTTTGAGTCTGTCAGTTATTTCATTCGATCACTTCCAGCAAACAGCCTCTATATTTTGTCGACTTCCAGTATTATATAATC